CCATTCTTCTTTGGCACCACGACTGTGTTGGAGATCCATCTTGGATAGTGCACCTCTCTGATTGCTCCTGCCTCCAGCAGGTTTCCTACCTCTTCTGCCACTATTTCGGCGTGGTGGAGTGCCGATCTGCGTGTGCGTTGAATAACTGGTCTGGCGGATGGATGGACATTGAGTTGGTGACTGATGAAGTTTGGATCAATACCTGGCATGTCGTAAGGCGTCCAGGCAAACACTTCGATGATAGAGGTCAAGAATTCCAAGACCTCTAATCTCTCAGTGCTGGACAACGACGAACCAAGCAAAAAGAACTTATCCGGGTTCTTTTCATCTATTCTTACCTCTACCAAGTCTTCCAACGGTTTTCTGATTAGCTGGCTTTGCTACATCTGCGACAATTCATTGCTCTCAGGTTCTTCCACCGCAATGAACGTATCTTTGGCAGCACGGCTTGCCATTCACCGTGATATAAGCATGTGTTGGACATAATCTGATCTCCATAGACTTTCATCTTCACATGGTATATTACATGCATTGTATCGTTGGCGACTAACATTACCTTGTGGTCGGATGACGCCACCGATCGCATGGCATGCAGCCATGTTCTGCCCAAGATGATGTTATAAGTGGAGGGGACCTTTAATACCCAGAACTCCACTTGTTTCGTCACGCTTCCTGCCTTGACTGGGAGGATTATTTTGCCAACGGGCCATTCTGGCATGGAGTTGAATCCAATCAGGGGAGATACGGCAGGTGCCAAGTCTTTATCTTGTAACTTCAACTATTTAAAGGTGTCGTAGTACATTATTTCACATGAACTACCTTGGTCTATCAAAATCCGCTTAACGTCAAAATCCTTGACGCGGAGAGTGACAACCAAGGCATCATTGTGAGGGCAATATATCCTTGCCAAGTCCTTATCCGAAAAAGACATGACGTTCGTGGCCTCTGTCTTCCCCTGTTTGACGGCAGGTTGGGCACTTTGTACCTCTTTTAAATGCTCAGCCTTTTTGATTGATCCTCTGAGCTCGCATACACGCTCAGGTTCGAAAACTCCATGTATCACATTGATAATGCCTTGAGGTGGGGCATCGATTGGCATTCCGTTAGGGTTGTTATGGTCCCGGGGGGCTGGTTGCGTCCCTCCTTCAATGTATTTATCCAAGTGATCGGCTGCCACCAACTCCTCCAAATGTTGTCTCAATGGCATACAATTTTCAGTGCGGTGCCCCTTTTCTTTGTGGAAGGTGCACCGTGATCTTTCGTCATAGTCCTTCTGAGCTTCCCCAAGCTTAGTTGGCCATCTGACGAAAGGCTCATCTCGTATTTCACTTAGAATTCGGTAGATCGGTTTCTTGAAGACCGTGGTTATGGCAGTGCGGACTCTCAACCATCTTTTATCCTGGTCCTCTTCGTTGTCTCGTCTGCCTCGTCCGTTTTTGCTTGGACGATCTACCGCGTTGACCTTTGCTGAGGCCTTCTTCTCTGGTACTGTGGTCGTGCCAGATTTTGTTTTGGCACGTGCGCCATCCTCTTCTACCCTGATGTGCTGATACTCTCTTTCCATCAAGGCTTCCATGGTGAGGGGTGCTGTCATGGTGATTGAGTCCCTTAGTCTGTTCCTGACCGGAAGGCCTCTCTTGTATTATGCAATGGCGAGATTGGTGGGACAGTCTCCAATCTGGTTGAATGTCTCCCAGTAGCGACTATTATAGGACCTTAATGTCTCTTTTTCGCCCATGTCGATGGAGAGTAACTGGTCAATCTCCACCGGGGTTTTAGTGTTTGTTCTGAACCTTGTGACGAACGCTTCCGCCAACTGCGCCCAGGAGGCTATGCTGCCTTCTGGAAGTTTTTCGAACCAAGTCAAGCCTAGGTCGCCGAGGCTAGATGGGAAGATGATGCACATTAAAGCCTCGTTTCGCCGATATACCGCCATAACCTGGCGGAAGTGGCTTAGGTGAATGTAGGGGTCCGTCTTCCCCTCGTACGTGGTGAATTTGGGCTGAAGGAAGCCTGTAGGTAGGGGCGCGTTTTCAATTGCCGGAACGAACGACGAGGTCTGCAGCCTTGCTAATGCTTTGTCCGTCGGTTCGTAGGCAGGTTGTGGTAATGGCATTCCAACCTCGACGCTTCCATGCGTTCGAGGAGCCAACCGTTGAAGGGCAGAAACTCTGCGAAGGTCGCGTGCCCTAGTGTCCTCCTTCCATCGTGCCTTTTCTTCCAGCATGGTCCGCAAATCGGATGATCTTGGTAACTCCATTTGCTTGGATGATGTTTGGTGCGAGTGTGAGGGTCGATAGGTACTTCCTCTGTGTAAGACCTCAATGATCTCGTTCTCTCAGACCTGGGGTAACGAGTTCTGGAGGTTCTAGACTGAGTATCGCCTGTCCTGAGGCTCCTACTTTCTGCTTGTGATGGTGTGGAATGCCTTCCACGGTCTTCTAAGCGGCGATGGGGCGTCTTGTTTTTGTGCCCCTCTCCTGTCGCCACTTCCTTTGCCTTCATCTGGTGCTTCATGATCTCCATGTCCGCCGCCATCTGTCGTATCAATTCGTCTTGTTCCTTCACGCGGTCCTCCAGAGCTTGAGGATCAATCCTCCGCCTTTGTCTGTCAGGACTTTAGGAACGAGAGTGACGGGGGCTGTTATTCCGCCTCTCCTTAGTATCCCTCCTGGGGTTATGCCGTTGGGGCTCCAAGGCTGCCATGAGAGGGATAGAAGGTAGTCCTTCACGCCTTGTACCCCTATCTGGTGTTTGCTCGTCGATGGCGGACTGCGGTAAATCTTCATTGTGCGCCATTGTTCCTAGAGAGGTAAAGCTTGATCAAGAGGTTTTGTCCTGTCTGTTCTTTCCACAGACGGCGCCAATTGTACGGGAAAGAAATAAACCTTCTCGTATAATCCTGTTGATCAAGTCTGCGCTCCTCCGTACGACGTCGCTTTACTCCCTGAAAACACAAGTGTGAGCTAGCCGGCGGGTGTGTGCCGGAAACCCCTCCGATGCCTAAGTCAGAAAGACAGACAAGTAGACAAGAAGCTCTGTGAATTCGAGAATCAAAGTTGTGTTACCTCTCCAAAGGTGATGTTTGTGAGCTTTTATAGGTTCCGTGTGGCACAATCCAAGTAGGACTCTTATTCCTCCATGTAGAGTCCTCCTAGGATTCATACTCCTGAAGCATAATGCTTATCCTTCAACACCCCCTCACTGCTTAAACCAAGTGAGATGGTTATACCATGGCCGAGCCACCATACAACCGAAATAACATTGCCATGCTAGACTGACTGGCGTAACCGATCTAACTGTTAGTTCGGCTATTCTTTGCTTTTCCCCTACCTCGGCTTCACATGCCAAAACCGAGCTATCCAGAGAAGAGCCTACGCCGAACTAACCCAAAACCAAATCCTGAAGAGGGCTCAGTATACTTCCTCACGTCCACCTCGGCTTTGCATGCCATGACCGAACTAACCAATTTGGCCGTGGCGACCGAGATAACAACAAGGCCTTCTTAGACCGAGCTAATGAAAAAAACCATTTTACTCCGCCTTTCTTACTACGGCCCAAAGCGGCCCACCACCCAATCTCGACCCAATTTATTCATACAAATTTCCCTCTCACCATTGAAAGACTCGGCTGCGGCAGTCATGTCTCCCTGCCCCTGGTTTGGCTCTCCCGCCAGCAACAATGATCATTCAAAGAAAAGCGAATCAAAAAGAGATCAAAGGATGATGAAGAATCGTGAACTCTCCTCAGAGAGAGTGACAGTACCTCGCACACAAATATTCGATATGTTAAACCCTTGGGGCCGTTTGTTTTAATAAGTAAGTTTGGCGGAATTATTAGTGGGTGGATTGTGTTCGTTTGATTATTAATGGATTAATATTAGTTTTTGTTTATTTTGAGGGATATGAATAAGATTAGTCATGTAAAATTTAATAAATATTCTTATTACATTATTTTTAAATGAGTTTTTACCGATTAATTAATTTTAATAGTAAAAATATATTTTATAAATATTAAAATTATATTTTAATATTAAAAATTATAATTCATAAAATTTTTTTTGGGTACTGTTTTTTCTTTTTAATATAGTTTTTTTTGGTATAAATATTATTATATTTTTATATTAAAAATTATTTTTATATTATATTATTTTGATATAAAGAATGGTGAAGTAAAAAATGGTAGAATAATAAAAAAAAATGATTGAGAAAAGACTATACTAATCAAGTGGAGTAATAAATTAGGTACACAAAAAGGTTAAATAGTAAATTTCTCTCTAATTCTAATGGATTATTTTTCTAATACCATCTCTTATGCGGAACTACTAATTCCATCCGTCTATCGGAATCCTAAGATATTATGAATCATCTTCCTTATTTTGGTAAACAAACAATTAGTCGATCCCACATCCATCATAATCCAATCATATCTCCTATAATCCAAAACAAATAGACCCAAACATAGTTTATTTTCAGCCTGTGTGGAAAATGAAAAATAATATATATATATATAATTATCAAATGACAATTATGCCGTCATGTCTTCTGCTTTTTGATAATAAAAAATCAGTAAAAGAGGATGAAACAGAGGAAGAATTTTTTTATTTTTTTTTACAACAAAGGATAATATTACCGCATGAGAGGAAGAAAAAGGTTGTGTAGATTTAAAGATGAGATAGATTAAATATCAACTGCAAAGTGACAGTGTTTTAAGAGATTTCTCTCTCTCTTTTTTTTTTAAATCATTTTTAATCTTTTTAATTATTTAAACAAGTGCTGAGAAATTTCTCCTTCTTTTGTTTTGTTTTGTTTTGATTTATTTATTTATTTATTTATTTATTTTTATGTTCATTTCATTTATTTTCTTTTCTTACAAAAAAAACCCAATCAATCTAACAAATAGTTGTAGGCACTCTTACTCAGGGTCTTTATCGTCCCTGAAAGGGAAAAATGCATTTGGTATAGGGCAGAGAGTCCTTTTTCTTGGGGCCTCATGAGTCATGACTGAACCCACTAACCAACATATATTAGTAAACAAATCCTAAAGATTCTGTTTTGAAGAATACATTTGCTTTTACTTCCAAAATCCATTTACAACTAGGGTAAATTCAAAATTTTTACAATGAAGACGAATAGTTCCCAAGTACTTCGAGACAAAGTACTACCCAAAACATCTACATACTTTACTTCCTAATTATGAACCTTCTATTCCATTATGTTTCCACTTTCTTTATACCAAATATAGCATCTCTTGTCACTAGCTTTATTCCCCTCACCCACAGCTCTGCCTTCTCAAATCCACCTTCACACACAAAATGCACTTCCTTGTTCTTCGTCGTCACCACCCGAAACACTCCAGGCTCACCCGCATCACCCTTCCTCTGCCTCAGCCTCTTAAAACTCAAGCTTGGTCCCACCTCAACCTCCCGGCATATAACATTTCTTCGGCTTGAATTCCCCCACCTCAACACCCCGGTAGCCTCCACCATCTTAATAACTTTACTATGTGGAGATCCTTTCCCACCCTTCCTATGCTTCAGCACAAGATCACCACTCAACACCAGCTTGCGAGCAAGCTCATCCATTATCACCCGTATTGCGTCATTCTTCGCACCACCATTCTTTGTTGCAAGTGAAAGTGCAGTTTCACCTTTTGCATTCCTTAAATCACAACGTGCTCCATATGAAATCAAGAGCTCGCACGTGCTTCCGTGGCCTTCCCTTGCAGCCAACATGAGTGGTGTGTAGCCATCCCCATCAGGGAAATTTATGTCATAACCTATATGCACCAACAATCTCGCTGCATCCAAGTCTCCACGGCGAGCTGCACAATGTAGGGCGTAAAAACCTCCACCATTACGATTACCCTTTTCAATAACAAATTCAAGCATTACTTTCTCAAACAAATCACGGTTTTGATTGAATCCAGATAGGGTTATAGCAGTCTCGCCAGATTTGTTACACAGCTTCACGTCAGCCCCAGCATAGACAAGCAAGCGAAAAGCTTCAACATGACCTTCCATTGCAGTAACCATGACTGCAGAGAAACCTTTATCATCCTGATGGTCAAGATCAATTTCAGCCTGTCCAATTAGAGCTTTCAAGGCTTGAATATCACCCAATCTAGCTATGAACATTAGAGGAGAAAAAATGGACACATTACTCGATTTGGGAACTATTCCAGCCCTAATTACATCTAGCACAGCTTGTTGAAACCCAAGAGACCATTGGCTTGACCCTGCGATTGACAATGCAGATTGACCGGCTATATTGACCAAACCAAAATCAGCACCAGCTGTGGCCAATACTTTGAGGGACTCTTCCCTCTTATATTTTACACAGATCATCAGAGCTGTCTCACCAGTGTCTGTCATTGAGTTCATATCACAGCCATAGTCAATTAGGCATTGAAGTATTGTCGACAATCCAAGCCGGGCAGCCATGTGTATTGGACGGAACATAGTTTTCTGTGTTGTTTTAACAGGGGCTTCTGCGTGTGCACCACAACCCAATACCACATTAACAGCTCCTATATTGCCACAGAGAATGGCATGGTGCAGGAGGGTTCTTCCATAGTGTGGGGTGTTGGGGGAGACTACTTGGAGGAGCATACGTAAGATAGCACCACTGTGTTCAAAATATTCCACCGCACACCAGGTGATGGCATAGGGCTCTGCTAGTCCTGCGCCCACTCTAAACTCTTCGCCTGAAGCTGTATCCCATGACCATGCCCCTAGTTGCACTTTGATGTCTGTTCTGGCACCAGCCTGGTTTTACCATTTTTGGAGAAAGCAAACAAGTTTTGTTAGTCGTGTTAGGAACACAGGAAAGAAAACTTTTAAAAAAATTATAAAATTAAAAACAAACAAATAAATAAAGGATTTTGGAATTGTCGCTATCTAAGGCTGATGATACTTTAGTCCACTGCACAATTGAATGTGCCAGGGAGATAGGATAGAGTTTCTGTTGAGATTCTCATGTAGTACATATAACCATCATCATGGAATTGTCATCCTGAGGACAAATCCAGCTGTTTCAGAATCACAGTTGTCATACCAACAAAAGGGACCCACCTGTATATGACACGTGGGCTAGGGAGTTGAGGGTACCAGAAATAGTTCATTTTATTCCAAATCTCTTTCCGGAATATCAGATTTTCAAAAAAATTAATCCTTTCGATTAAGATAAAGGGATAATTTCATTTTAGAGATGGGATACAGATGAACTTGCACCTATTATTCGTACGTCCTGCTACCTATTATCTAAATCAAGATTAGAATCTTGCCTGTAGCAACAAATGGACCACAGAGATCTGCCTGCTCACAACAGCAGCCACGAGTGCAGTACAGTCAACATTTGTGTGTAGAGAAGGCTTATAAGATTGGAGCAACACCCGATCAGTTGCATTTGCATCCACTCCACACTGCAAATAGGCAACAGCTATTATATCAAAATGGCATGCTAATTTAGCAAGATATAGAGCATAGAGAGATTCATTCAAGAGATTAATTAGTCCCCAGATCCTATTAAACACATAGCAGTAACTGTTCCAATTTGCACATGGCACTCTGCTTACAGAAAAGCTTACACTACTTGAGGAAAAAAACACAGAATCTGTCTGAATAATTCAACCATTCAACTTTAGCAAATTGACAAGTAGTAAAATGTTTGTCTAGAGAAATTTAGTGAAAAGCATCTCGTTTCAACCGCTTCAATTTACAAGAGAGCCCACATGGTAAGCATATTCTTTGCATTACGGAGAAGAGAAGCCGCAACTATTGTATTTAACTCAAATGACATGACTGACGGGAAAGAAAGCAATACTCAGAAGGACCATGGTGAAGCTAATGGAAACCAAAGACAACCTAATGATTGAAATGACTATAATGTTTGTCTCTTATAAATTAGTTGATGTGATTGGATGGTAAACCTAATGTAGCAGTAGTCATTGGTTGTTTTGCTACAATGTTTTTAGTATGAAAATTGCCGCTGGACAGCCCATTTGAGTCAGTGAATATGATTTTTTTACCTTAATGAGAGCATCTACCACATCCATGAACCCTCTGCAGCATGCAGTGACAAGAGAATGCACTGCAATATGAGGACGAATCAGGTCAGATTCCATGAGCAACTCCACATGCCTTGCACGACCATGATAACTTGCCTCTAACAATGCCTCCTCACAAGCTGGCTGAGAAGCACCAGCTTTAACTAAGATCTCCAAAATCTCAAGGTGGCCCTCCCTCACTGCTGCTGTTGTCGCGAAACCCCTGAATAGTTTTTGGTTCACATCGGCTCCAATGCTCTATCATTTTGACAAATGCCAACCCTCAACACATTGCAAAAATAAAGAAAAAACTCAACAAGGAGACATTCGTCATTTTGGCTCAAAATCTTCAAGCTGGTTAAGAAGAAACAAATTAAGCTAGCAGCATAGTAAGCATTTTGGATTCTTCATCAAGTACAGGTAGCCATGGCCACTCCCAAACAAAAATGGGCAACATGACTGATGTGACACATAATGGGACATGGGACTTCAACTAAGCAAGCAGCCAGTAGGTGGTCAATAATATGAAGAAAAAGGGGAGTGTATCATGTACGTGTGACACATAATGGGACATGGGACTTCAACTAAGCAAGCAGCCAGTAGGTGGTCAATAATATGAAGAAAAAGGGGAGTGTATCATGTACGTGTGACACATAATGGGACATGGGACTTCAACTAAGCAAGCAGCCAGTAGGTGGTCAATAATATGAAGAAAAAGGGGAGTGTATCATGTACGTGTGACACATAATGGGACATGGGACTTCAACTAAGCAAGCAGCCAGTAGGTGGTCAATAATATGAAGAAAAAGGGGAGTGTATCATGTACGTGTGACACATAATGGGACATGGGACTTCAACTAAGCAAGCAGCCAGTAGGTGGTCAATAATATGAAGAAAAAGGGGAGTGTATCATGTACGTGTGACACATAATGGGACATGGGACTTCAACTAAGCAAGCAGCCAGTAGGTGGTCAATAATATGAAGAAAAAGGGGAGTGTATCATGTACGTGTGACACATAATGGGACATGGGACTTCAACTAAGCAAGCAGCCAGTAGGTGGTCAATAATATGAAGAAAAAGGGGAGTGTATCATGTACGTGTGACACATAATGGGACATGGGACTTCAACTAAGCAAGCAGCCAGTAGGTGGTCAATAATATGAAGAAAAAGGGGAGTGTATCATGTACGTGTGACACATAATGGGACATGGGACTTCAACTAAGCAAGCAGCCAGTAGGTGGTCAATAATATGAAGAAAAAGGGGAGTGTATCATGTACGTGTGACACATAATGGGACATGGGACTTCAACTAAGCAAGCAGCCAGTAGGTGGTCAATAATATGAAGAAAAAGGGGAGTGTATCATGTACGTGTGACACATAATGGGACATGGGACTTCAACTAAGCAAGCAGCCAGTAGGTGGTCAATAATATGAAGAAAAAGGGGAGTGTATCATGTACGTGTGACACATAATGGGACATGGGACTTCAACTAAGCAAGCAGCCAGTAGGTGGTCAATAATATGAAGAAAAAGGGGAGTGTATCATGTACGTGTGACACATAATGGGACATGGGACTTCAACTAAGCAAGCAGCCAGTAGGTGGTCAATAATATGAAGAAAAAGGGGAGTGTATCATGTACGTGTGACACATAATGGGACATGGGACTTCAACTAAGCAAGCAGCCAGTAGGTGGTCAATAATATGAAGAAAAAGGGGAGTGTATCATGTACGTGTGACACATAATGGGACATGGGACTTCAACTAAGCAAGCAGCCAGTAGGTGGTCAATAATATGAAGAAAAAGGGGAGTGTATCATGTACGTGTGACACATAATGGGACATGGGACTTCAACTAAGCAAGCAGCCAGTAGGTGGTCAATAATATGAAGAAAAAGGGGAGTGTATCATGTACGTGTGACACATAATGGGACATGGGACTTCAACTAAGCAAGCAGCCAGTAGGTGGTCAATAATATGAAGAAAAAGGGGAGTGTATCATGTACGTGTGACACATAATGGGACATGGGACTTCAACTAAGCAAGCAGCCAGTAGGTGGTCAATAATATGAAGAAAAAGGGGAGTGTATCATGTACGTGTGACACATAATGGGACATGGGACTTCAACTAAGCAAGCAGCCAGTAGGTGGTCAATAATATGAAGAAAAAGGGGAGTGTATCATGTACGTGTGACACATAATGGGACATGGGACTTCAACTAAGCAAGCAGCCAGTAGGTGGTCAATAATATGAAGAAAAAGGGGAGTGTATCATGTACGTGTGACACATAATGGGACATGGGACTTCAACTAAGCAAGCAGCCAGTAGGTGGTCAATAATATGAAGAAAAAGGGGAGTGTATCATGTACGTGTGACACATAATGGGACATGGGACTTCAACTAAGCAAGCAGCCAGTAGGTGGTCAATAATATGAAGAAAAAGGGGAGTGTATCATGTACGTGTGACACATAATGGGACATGGGACTTCAACTAAGCAAGCAGCCAGTAGGTGGTCAATAATATGAAGAAAAAGGGGAGTGTATCATGTACGTGTGACACATAATGGGACATGGGACTTCAACTAAGCAAGCAGCCAGTAGGTGGTCAATAATATGAAGAAAAAGGGGAGTGTATCATGTACGTGTGACACATAATGGGACATGGGACTTCAACTAAGCAAGCAGCCAGTAGGTGGTCAATAATATGAAGAAAAAGGGGAGTGTATCATGTACGTGTGACACATAATGGGACATGGGACTTCAACTAAGCAAGCAGCCAGTAGGTGGTCAATAATATGAAGAAAAAGGGGAGTGTATCATGTACGTGTGACACATAATGGGACATGGGACTTCAACTAAGCAAGCAGCCAGTAGGTGGTCAATAATATGAAGAAAAAGGGGAGTGTATCATGTACGTGTGACACATAATGGGACATGGGACTTCAACTAAGCAAGCAGCCAGTAGGTGGTCAATAATATGAAGAAAAAGGGGAGTGTATCATGTACGTGTGACACATAATGGGACATGGGACTTCAACTAAGCAAGCAGCCAGTAGGTGGTCAATAATATGAAGAAAAAGGGGAGTGTATCATGTACGTGTGACACATAATGGGACATGGGACTTCAACTAAGCAAGCAGCCAGTAGGTGGTCAAAGACTATGCCCAACCCAGCTATCCACCAATACATACCGGATAATAATGGGTATAGCCGAGCTAAACCGCCAAGCAGGCCTGAACCTCGGTTTAGCCGAAATCTTCCACCAGTACTCCATAGGTTCCAAGGATGATGGCTGGGTTTATTACCTTAGGATACGCCGACGTAGAGAAAAAATAATAAAAGATACACCAGATAAGGCCGTAAATGATGATGACTTTTTCTGGGTATCGGGCAATTTTGAAGATCAGCAAGCCCAAATCCCAGGCCGAAGTATAAACTAGAAGAAAGGAGAACCTGGTAGAGTGACTTCGGTTTTATGCATATTTTTCTTTACTTCGGTTTCTGGCGTCATGACCGATCTAACAGTTGTATATTTTTTGCAGACTCAGCCCATCTTGCTTCCTATTATAGTTACCCAAATCTGAACACACTCCGAGCCGCACTACGGATTAAAGAAAGAAGTTGGGCCAAGCTTCTAAACTTTGAACCGACCTACAGATATAGCGGTCGTCGAAAAGCCCAAGTGACCGATTTCCTTCTTGAGGAAGCACCAGAACCGGACCCAACCTTGCCCGAAATACGACTTGTCCCATTAACTGCTGAAGAAGAGATGGCAAAGAAAAGCAGAGTTAAGGCCCTTCTGACTGCAACAACCAGGGCCGAAGTGCAGCCATCCTTACAAACACAGCCTGCCGTTGTGGGCCTTCCTTCTCAACAACCTTCTTCATCTCGCCTTTCTAAACGCGTCCGATCTACATCGACCGAACAACAACTTGTCGATGAGGTTGAATCCATCCCCCAAAGTCCTCAACCTACCCAACCGGAGCAAACTGACCGAGCAGAATCTTCCAAATGGGCACCGAAGTTAACCTTCAACGACCAAGATATTAAAGATTCTGATTCGGTTGTTGCTCAAAAAGATCATCAATTGGCCTTTAACCTGGCCAAAAGTGTGTGCCTCCCCAAGGACATGGAGCACCACCTAAAGCAATTAAACACCGAAATGAAGTCAATTCGGTCTACATCGAAGTCCATGATTTTGGTAAGTAGCTCTGTCCGTTTTTTCTGTCTAAATTTTCCAACTTTTACTTCGGCTCAAGAGAAGTCTTCGTTTTGTCAGGCCTTACAGAAGAACAACATTACTTACAAGAAAGTCCAGAAGCTTAGAAAAACCACAAGGCAAGCAATGGCGGAAGCCGAAGCAAAGGTGGCCGAGCTAGAAGAAGCCGAAAGGAAAATGGCCGAGCTACAAGCAGAGAACGGCCGACTTGCCGATCTGGTTAGTTCGGCTGAGGCAGAGAAGCAGAAAGCCGCCATTGCTATGAAAGACAAGTATCTACGCGAGTTGGTAAAGCTTGAAAAGGGAAAAGACACCGAAATAACTCAACTGAAAAAGAGCGCGGAGGGAGCCAAAAAGCAGGGTTACAAGAAGGCAGAAGACGCTTATGTCAAACAGTGCGATGCTGCCAAGGAGCTGTTCTTCAAGTGCGGCTGGAGGGGAGCCGTTAAGAAGCTCGGTCATGATCCACAGACCGAGGTTTTCAGCCCTCCAGCCTACTTCATACCGAACTCCCTCCTGGATTATGCAAATGCTATGCAACAGGAGTTTCTTGAAGGTTCAGATTCTGATGAAGATTCTGCCTCCGAAGATACTCCGGTTGTCAGCGTGGATCAGGCGGTTCGGCCGGAGCCGATAGTGGAAGATCTAACTATTGAAGAACCGGATGAAACTGTGGTTCCGGCCGAAACCATTCTTGCGACCGAAAACGTCCCTCCGCCTGAAACTGGTCTTCCTGTTGATGCAGATGCTGCCTTTGACGCCGAAATTGAAGATCTTTTTTCCTAATTTTTTCTCCTTTTTTGTTACCTTTTCTTTGTAACCGGGCTATGTCCCTCTTGTCCTTGCTTTTCAATGAATGAAAATTTTGTTGGACTCTTATTCCGATTCTGATATGTATGCATGTACTTCGTAATGCCTTCTAATACTCCAACTGTTATTTCGGTTTATAGGTGGTTAAACTATGCTTACCAGCCAACCACTCCTTAGCCAATATAATTACTTCGGATGAGGAGTACACAGTGGTTAATCCAGCCA